TGGATGGATAGATGTCTAGATAGATAGATGGATAGATGGATGACAGATAGATGATAGACAAATGGACAGACAGCTAGATGATTAGATAGATAGATAGGCAGATGATAGACAGATAGATGGAGAGATAGATGGGCAGACAGACAGGAAGATAAATTACAAAGTATATACAAATTAAATACAAGCTACCCTGGAGTTGCTGTGTCTAGAATATGCCTCATGGGTAAGCCAAGTCCCTTTCCATCCATGAGCATCAGTTTCTTCATCCATAAAATGTGAGGACTCTATAAAAGTCATTCCAATTATGAGTCTAAGACCTAACACACACACACTTTAAAATTATATTTTCTTCAGTTTTCCAAAGACCCTTGATTACATCCCTGCGGGAAGCCCTTCTCTCACCCCTAGAGCCACAAAAGACAGAGTGCTTGAGATGATAAAGGGCCACACCTCCCCACTGTGGGCACAGCTCAGCTGGTCCCTGGATGTCAGTGGTGCGGGCTGTACACCTGAGGCCTGTCCAACTTCCTGGCCCTGCTGGACCTCCTGCTTTGCTGACCAGAGCTCGAGTCAAGGGCATGAACAATGATCCTCCTGTTCTTCTCTGAGGCAGCTGGGGGCAGGAGAAAGGGCATTGGGGTCAGAGTTCCTGGGTTCTACCCCTTACTGCCTAGGTGACCTTGGTCAAGTCACCTCCTTCCCTGGGCCTCAGTCTGTCAGATGAGAGGGCTTGGACGGGATGACCTTTAAGGTACCTTCCAGTTTGGGATTGACAGCCATTGGGTCCTTTCCAGAGAGCTTCCCTGGTGGGTGACCCTCAGTCAACCCTGGCAGGAGTCAGGCTGCTCATGGTCATGTCAGTTGTGTGCAGGGCATCTTTATGGCCACCTCTGACTCTGCTGGCCTCCTGCTTCCATAATGTCCAGTTCAATAATCCATTGAGCACTTATTAGGTACCTACTCTACTAGGCTCTGAGCCTGTAAAGACAAAAGCAAAATGACCCCTTCCCTCAAGACGCTTACGCATAATCAGGAGGAAATAGCATGTGCATTGACATCAGATGCAGAGCAATTTGGGAAGAGGACACAGCAGCTGGGGAGATCAGAATAGTCTTCCAATAGGCGGTGGCACTCGGACTGAGCCTGGAAGGGCTTGTCTTGGAATTTTCTTTGGACTCTTGTGTTGACAGTTTGATGTTGTCCTGTCAGAAATCCCATGGGACACAAACTCCCAAGAGGGATTTGCCAATTAAGCAAATGATGCTATGGCTGCAGGAGTAGACAGGTGAGGTCAGTTTTGGTGTTGAATTCTGTGGGCTGTGGTCACAGTATCAATGGCTTCTGAACAGATGGAATTCCGACATTTGCCTTCCCTCCATTTTCATCTCCTCTCCCCCTCCTGGCCCATCTCCTCAGCTCAAGACCTGCTGAGATGTGACTCATTGGTTGATGGATTCAATGCATGGTCAATAGCCCATCTATTTTGGTGGTCAGCCCTTCCAACCCCAAGAAAAGGAAAGATGGCTTAACTTTGTCATTTCTAGAAGTATTTATGCACTCCTGGGCAAGATTCCACAGGAAACTGGCAAGAGCTCCCTTCTATTGGAAACCCCAATGGGGCATTAGGGAGAGGGGGTGAAGCCCTCCTAGGAGGAAGTGATGAGCATGGACACTCTTGGTTCCTCTGTCTGAACTTAGGAGCCAGAGGAACATCTGGCAATTGGCATCTGGCATTTTCAAGTCTGGTAAAGCCTATCCAACTGAGTAGAATTGTGTTGGTGAGACAACCTTGACCCCCCTCCTCCTGCTGTTTTTACCATGGACCCCAACCTTCTCCCCCTATAGATGCTGGGGTTCAGCCAAACATCTACTGTTACTGCTGGTGGGAATCCCATGGCCCCACATCACGGCCAACCAGACAGTTCCTCTCCACTGAGACACTGGCAGGAGTTTGCCTGACCCGTTTCAGCTGTAGGTGCAAAACAAAAGCTTGACTCTGTGGGAAAAGCCTTCTCAGAGAAGCTGTTTGATAAGCCCTGTCAAGAACTGTCACAGTTTGGGGTGTTAGGACCCATTCCAGCCAGTCTTCACCCTTGACTTTGAAAGAAGTTCCCACATGTTTACTGACTGAGCCATTAAGACAGGCTGAGAAGGCATCAGCTGGGTTTTCAAAGAGAAGGAGAGATGGCATGGCTCCAGAATTCCCCCAGCTAGTTAGTGTGCCTTCTGCCCCTTGGTCATGACTACTGTGTGCTGACCCAAGGCCAATTGACCTTCTAGGCTTTCAGGATAAAACTGAATGAAATCCTTCCTTCCTTCCCTCCTTCCCTCCTTCCCCCCTTCCTTTTGTTCTTTCCTTCCTTGCTTGATTCCTTACTTCCTTCCTTACTGCAATCTTTCCTTTTGTCCTTCCTTCCCTCCTTCCATCCTTCCTTTTTCCTTTCCTTCCTTCTTTCTTTCCTTCCTTGTTTCTTCCCTTCCTTCCTTGCTTCTTTATTTTCTTGTTTCTTTCCTTTCTTCCCTCCTTTCTTCTTTGCTTCCTTCTTCCCTTCCTTTGTTCCTTGCTTCCTTCTTTCCTTCCTTTCATTCCTTGTTTCTTTCCTTTCTTCCTTCCTCCCTTCCTTCCTTCCCTGCTTTCTTCATATATTTCAGAGTCGGTATTGGGGCAAGCTTGTATGCCAGTAGCATCTGTATCTCACAAAAGCAAGTCATCTACCTTGGCTAGTAGAGAGAGCCTTACCAATGACACATGTGTGTTCTGGAGGCTGTGGCTTCCCTTTGGAGCTGATTGCTTCCCTTCATGCCTGGTCTATTCTGGTGGTCAGTGTGGCCTTTGCTGATGTACCTCCTGGCCATAGCCATGCACTGTTGGATACTGTGGGGACATACTCTCAGTGCAAGAGGGTGAAATACCCTCCACTGACACAGAGGAGGGAGGGTCTCCACATGCCTAATAATATGACTTCTTCTGCATAGATGCTGCCTAGTTCCATGACTCCCAAATGGGTTTTGGAAGTTTTCTCAGCAGCTCACACTAGTCTGGTATTGTCTGATGGAGACTAAAGGAAGGCAGGAGACAACAGCATCACAGTAAAGGAGATGGTCCCTGCCTGGTTTTGGTGACTCCTTTAAATTTAAAAAATAATAACTTTTTAGGGAGAAGTGGAGGACAGAAGAGTCCCTGAATCCCCAGCTTGGGCCTGGACACTGAGCATCCTTGGCTCAGGCTCTCTCTCCATGGAATCTCCCCCTCCTTGGGCACCTTCCCTCCCTCCCCTGTAGACAAGCAGCTCCACGTGTGATCAGTGTGTGCCTCTGTTCCTTCCCAATGTCATCCAAGGTATGGTTTTCCTTCATACTGTAACCATGTTCCCTTACCTGTGACCAGGTCTGGATGCCAGTCCCCCGGCCAGTACTCATGAACTCACCATTCCCAATGATGTGAGTATCGCCTCTCTGACTCTTCTGTGTGCCCGTGTGTGAGGGAGGGTCATGTGTGATTGGGCGCTCCATTGGGCACTTGATATGAGGCAGAGAGGCCAGCCCTGGCTGACTGGATGGCTGGCAGGCTGCCTAACTCAATGTCACCTTGTAGCTAAGCACTGGTCTGCCATGAAACAAGCACGTGGATCAAGGGGGTTAAACCCACTGGCTTGTGGCCATGTCCACTGGTTTAGCTAGACTTTTTTTTGCTTTGAGATCTTGACCATCTTTTCTTCTTCCTTTATCTGCATTTAAAGTGAATTTAGTGCTCATGAAAGAGGCTGGATTGAAGTCCTCAGCACTGAGGGAGACCAAATCTGTCAAAGAACTGAGGGTTCCAAAAGTCCTTCAGCCCTCCTCGCTGCAAGTTTGCAGGGAGGTGCACAGATCTTTAGGGTGGGAAAGGTCCAACACACACACAGCAGACCAAGGATTGCCCTTCCCCCATCTCTGGTGGCCACTCATCTGGCCTTTGCATGAATGCCTTGAGGGGAGCAAGCCCACCAGCTCCCACCCTTTCTGCTTTGGGCCAGCTATCATTGTTAGGAAGGTTTTCCTGAAATCAAACTATGTCTACATCTTCATGACCACCATCCCACCATTTACTCTTGGTTTTCAATCCATAATGCCACTTCCACAGGATAGGCCTTTAGCTATGGGAAGAGAGTGTCTGGGTCTCACTCAACTCTTCTCTCTAGGCTAAACATACCTCCAACTGCCCTTCATCTGACATGAGATCCACCATCTTCATGGTTGCCTTCCTCTGAAAGGGACTGGCATGGACCAAGTCCTTTCCCACTAAATGTTTAGAATCTTCACTTACGAGTTCTAATACGCTGAGACTTCTTCTTGGCCATGAGTCTGAGTAATTGTGAGAGGGATCAATACTAGACTTTTTCTCAATGTCCCATCTCTTCTACTTGTGGGTAATGGATGATTTACAAGCAAACGTTTTTGTAAGTCCTGATGTCACTGGAAATCCCCCAACAGTCAGAAAATCTACCCCATCAATCTGAAGGTTTTCCTTTCACTGTAGTAAAAACTCAGAATGGGAGATAAACAGAGGCAGGGGCAAAGAGAATAGGACAGAGACAGATTGACAAAGAGAAGAGAAATACATAGGATGGTCCAACGACAGCAAGGCATAGGACTCTGCCTTTGTGGACATCTGGTAAGGAAGGCCAGGGGCGTGGAAGGGGAGGGGAGGCAGTGGTGATCAAAAGTCATGAATTGGCACATCTCCCCTAAAGTGGCTTGACCTTTGAAAGATCATGAAAGCATCCTCAGCTTTTGGCTTCTTTCAGTTGAAGAATTCTGCCTTGATTGTCATTGACACCATCACTCTGATGACCAATTAAAGTTTGACTTTGTCGATGTCCGTAGTGGTGCGCAGGATCACCCTTCTCTCCATCTCTAGAGCACCCACAATCTCCCCCACCCTGCCCTGCCCGGGTGTGCTAGGCAGGACTTTGGGGCTGGGAAGAGGGAGCTGAGGCCTCCTTTTCCCATTAGGAGATGTTAGAATGCGGGGCTGCCTTTAATGGCTCTTTGAATCTTGGCATAAACTATCTGGCATGTACCTATGGATTCCCAAAAGTTGAGAGTTCAGTGAAGAGGGGCTGTGTCTACTCCAAGGATGAGTACTGTGGTCGATGCCATCACAAGTGGGCACGGGCAGCTACCACACTGTGCAGGCTGCTTCCCCAGATGCCACATGTAATGAGGAGATGACTGAAGAGGTGCAGGGGTTGGGGGTCCCAAAGGAAGGAGCCAAGGGAGCACATGGGGTAAGTAATTGACCTTTTCCTTCTCACCAATTACAAGCCTTTCTAAACAGCCATGCATCTTTGGAGAGCAGCCATCCTCTCAGAGGTCCAGTCCTCGGAATTGGAAAGAGGCTGAAATGAATTGTTCAACAAAAGCAAAAGAAACTCAACTGCCCTTTTGGACCAAAAAGAGATTGTCTAAATAAATTAGGAATGATGGAGACAATAGGCAAGGCTATAGAGCCGCTGTGGCTGAGTGGAAATCCCTCACTTGGTGTCAGAAGACCTGGTGTCACTCCCTGGGTCTGATACATAACACATACAGGTTGTGGGGGTCTGGGCAAGTCCCAGAACCTCAAAGTGCCCCAGGCCACTGTCTACAGCCAGGCCGACTCTACATTCCCTGGGAGAAGAGATTCCATCTCCAGGACTGACGGTGCTAACCTCTGATCTTGTTTTGTGCTTTGTTGCGATGGTTGTTGGTCTTTCCTTCCCCTCCTCTCCCCTCCCTAACCCCTCCCTTCCTCCTCTCCCCTCCTCTCCTCTCCTCTCCTGTCCCCTCTCCTCTCCTGTCCCCTCTCCCCTCTTCTCTGTCCTCCTCTCTTCTCTCCTCCCTTCCTCTTCTCTCCCCTCCTCTTCTCTCCTTTCCTTTCCCTCCCCCCTCCTCTCTTCTCCCCTTACTCTCCTCTCCCTTTCTCTCCCTTCCCTTCTCCTCCCCTCCTCCCCTCCCTTCCTCCTCTCCCCTCCTCTTCTCTCCTCTCCTCTCCCCTCTTCTCTGCCCTCCTCTCTTCTCCCCTCCCTTCCTCTTCTCTCCTTTTCTCTCCCCCTCCTCTCCTCTTCTCTCTTCCCCTCCTCTTCTCTCCTCCCTTCCCTTCCTCCTCTCCCCTCTTCTCTCCTCTCCTCTTCTCTGCCCTCCTCTCTTCTCTCCTTTCCTTTCCCTCTCCCCTCCTCTCTTCTCCCCCTCCTCTCCTCTCCCTTTCTCTCCCTTCCCTTCTCCTCCCCTCCTCCCTTCCCTTCCTCCTCTCCCCTTCCTCTCCCTCCTCTCCCCTCCTTCCCCTCCTCCTCTCTACCCTCCTCTCCTTTCTTTTTCTACGAGCCTTCTGATTTCATTGGCCCAGGGAATGTCTGGATGAGGAAGCTCCTAATGTGCAGACCATTACCTTCTTTTCCCCTTCTAGTCACAGAGTTACTTGGCTCACTGAGAGGTTAAGGCACTTTCTTGCCCAGGTTTGCACAACCTGAGTATCTGAAACAGGGTTTGAACTCAGGTCTTCTTGGCTTAAGGCCAGCTCCACCCACTGCACCACACTTCTCTTTGGACTGCACTGCATACGATGAAGCCTGCTTCCTAAGAGGCATAGTGGAAAGAGAGGCGGTACCTGCTGCCCACGTTTGGAAGAGTGTTTACTGAAGATGCAGGCGCTCAGGAGAAAGGAGGGAGCTAGATGGAAAAAGGATGGCGGGGAGCAGAAGGGCAAGGAGGTGAGGCTTGGAGAGGCGAGAGCCCCCGGAAATGGAGAAATACAGGGGAAAAACCATTCAGACTTAACGATCAGAAGGAGGAAATAAGGGGCAAAATGGAAAAGCTCCTTGGAAAAGAGCAAACCGAACTTTTAAAAGATGGTTTAAAAATTGCTTCAAAGGCGGCTTATTGGAGAAGAGCCACGAAGCCATGAAAGCGCAGCTTCTGCAGATGCTCCATCCCTGGTGATTGAGGGGATTAAGGCAAAGGCCCCTTGCAAAGGATCTGAGTGAGCAGGAAGATCTTTAAGCGCCCAAGGAAAGATCTTTGGAGCCAGCCAAGGCTGGACACGGCCGCGGGAGGAAAAGCCTCCCGCACTCGCGGCGCCTGGTGCCTGGGCAGAGTGGCGCCTCATTTTCATTGCTAGGGCTTCGACCTCCCGGGTGCTAGGGCTTACCCAGGCTCGTGTGTGCCCAGCCCGCCAGCATTCTGTGGCTCCCAGAGGGGCCCTGGCCTGGGCACCTGATGGCAGCAGGTGTGTGCAGAGCGCTGGTCTTGAAGAGACTCACGTCCCCGTTGGGGCTCTGGCAGAGACACCAGAAAGGCTTCAGAGATGAGCAGAGTACAAAGCTCTGGGGGGAGTCCACAGCCAGTGGCTGTGGGAGCCCCGGGGCTCATCTCTGCTGCAAGGTCCGGCATTATCTCCACAATCTCTCCTCTGGCAGCTCAGAGGTTCATTCTCTCCTCAAGGTCACCGATCAGGCTTGATGGTACCCCCGGGGCTCTCGCTAGAATTTCTAAATGTCCTCACACTTTGTCATTAGGCTGGTACTCTTCAGACTTCCCAAAGACCGATCTATGTCCTTGTCCCCATCATAGCTATGCGAAAATGGAGTCAGAGGCAAAGCTGAAAACAAGACTGGAGCATTCCTCCCTTTCATGAGTTTCTCTTGTCTTTGGTGATAAGCTAAGTTCCTCTTCTCTTCTTCCTACACTGTTAGTCCTGCTGGATAGAAAACAGGAAATTCCTCTTCCAGCAGCTCCTAGAGACCCCCTGGTTCTTCTTGAAGTCTCTGCGGAGTGTGCATTTCTTCTTCACTCCTGTCAGCCATGGTCTTTACAAGGCCACTTTGGAGATGCTAAGGGGAGACAGCTTCAGAAGTTGACAACGTTCTTTTCCCTGAGGATCAACTCTGTGGGCAGGCAGGGTCAGAGCTCAAGAGGAGGCAAAGATGGTGGGCTTGATGGTAGACTTGCTATAGAGAGAGGGCTTTCATCTCCATGCCCTCAGCCCAGTGTCCTTACCTGGCCACTCTTGGACCTCTGGCTTCTAATTCTTTCTTCTCACCATGTTCTTGCCTTTCTTACTTCTCCTGAGCTTGGCTTCTGGGAAAAGCAACTCTTCCCTTGACCTCCTTCCAGATTATCAGTTTGACTGGAGGTTGGAGGCTGGTGATTGATGCCTGGCAAATGTGCAGAATCATTTGAGAACCTGAGGCTTTATCTGCTCTTTTGTTAGAAATAAGAGAAAGCTAGGAGAAAAATACAGAGCTACCACTGGTCAGGAGTCCACAAACCAAGGGCAAGGGTTTTCGGTGTCACCCTAAGTTAACTTTCCTCAGAAGCAAGGCATCGGCCCACTACTCTTCCAGCTCTGGAGCCCCAGGGTCAGTTGTGACCTGGTTCCCACATGAAAGTGAGGTTTAAATGACTTGGGCTCAATGCCACCCTAAGAATTCTGATCACGGCACAAGGCTTCACCCTTCTGCAAGAGTTCTCCAGCTTGGTGGGTCCTAACCATGGGGGATCCCACTGAGGAGAAAGAGATAGAGGGTATACCTGCTGGACCATGGGGTGAGCATCCTCAGTTTCAATGGGATCCCAGGCAGGGTTTTTTCCTTTCAGGAGCACTAAATTCTCCCACTGGTTCAAAGACCAAAGTCAATTTGCCAGCAGATGCAGCAACCTGTGACCATGTGTTCCTGCTTACTGGCAAGGAGAGGACTCCCTCAGACTCTTCTCTAAGAAATTCCCTCCGTCCTTTTTTCTAGCTAATAGGCTGCATAATCGGACGCCAAGGGACCAAAATCAATGAAATTCGGCAGATGTCTGGAGCACAGATCAAAATCGCCAATGCCACAGAAGGGTCATCGGAGCGCCAAATTACCATCACAGGAACCCCAGCTAACATCAGCCTTGCCCAGTACCTCATCAATGCCAGGTGAGCAGTGGTAACTGGAGCCTTGAGTATCGCCCCCTTGCCACCCCAGTCCTCTGGGCTGGCTCCTGCTAAAGGAAGGACAACCAAGGAATAAGATATGATAGCACCAAGCATCACATGGCTAAAAGATCCAGATTCAGGAAAGGCCCCCGTACTTTAGGCAGGAAGAGAAAGCATCTTAAGACTTGAAACTTGACCATGTTCAAAGTAGGTAGAATGTTGGATCAGTCCTCTTGTCAATCAGTAGCTTCTCTACCATCATGAATAGCTACGAATGGATAGGCCATGATTTAGAGATACCTGGTGCCATTTTTTAAATGGTAGTCATGACATCTAGTTTGCTTTCCTTTCCAGTCTTGAAATATTCCTTTCATTGAAACTTGATGTGGAAAGTTGTCTAGGCTAGGGGGAAGTCCCATTGTTGGGCTGGCCTGTAATATGCATTATTCCAATCAGCTTCCTGGAAACTTAACACTCGCTGAATCGCTGGAAGCCAATCTGGTGGGCAGCTTCTCATTGCCCCTTCTGATGTCCCTCCATTCTCCCACATTGCCTTCTCACTTCGAGACCTTGTTCTTCCTCTTCACCTAAGCAGCCTCCTGCAGCCAATCCAGCTCTCCCAAGTCTTTCCAGCTCACTGGCTAACCGTTTGAGCCACAAGTAGCTAGAGGGCAGGAAAGATTTTGTCAGAGGAAGTGATTCAGCCCTCTCCCCCCCCACCTGTAAATTGGCTGGCTTTAGTCCCGTTTCTACAAAAACCAATCCTTTGCTTAAGCAGAACACTCCCAACATATTGATTTCCCTCCGTATCTTAGGTGAGATTTTACATTATCACACACACACACACACATACACACACCCTGGACATATTTCAAGATTAAGGCTGACATCTTCATCCCAATGAATGTATCACAGGCTGTTATTACCTAGGAGGAATATTCCAATGTGCGTGACATAGCTCACTTACTTGGCAATTACTTCCCCAACTCGTAGCTTCCATTTCTTTGAGTCATTCCACTAAACACATTTTTCCAGGAAAAGTCTTTGTTCCTGTAAGTGCAGTGTTTTGATTTTCTATTTAAAAAAATACTGAAAAATAGTTCACTAGAAAAGTTGAGTTAGAGGCTGCTCACCCAGGATGGATGTCTGCCATGGAAAGCGTGTCTATCTCCTCTTTCTCTGACACAATAGTGGCATGGCCTTCTACTGAGAAATCTGTAAGATGCAAACAGTCCTGAGTGAGGTGCTCAGGTGCTCATGGCAGCAGGGCGGTACAAAGCAGACCAATAACAGAAAGCAAGAGACTTATTCGCCCCATACTCCATTCTCCAACACCATCGTTTTCTGAATGGCTCAAAGGATTTTTAAAATTATATCTTCACAAGGCTCTAAATGAGTCCCACACACTTGATATGGCTGAGGAATGGGTTATTCTAGGCAACTGGACATGGCCCTCCCTGTATTGCTTCTGTTGAGGGAACTGGAATCCAAACAGATGCACAGCGCCACTGATTAAAGTAAAAATGGACTTTTTTTGATAACTCAGCAGTCATTTGGATTCTTGAAGAACACAATTACTTTGTAGGCAAAAATTCTGCAGGTTGGAGCTGCCTGTCGCATTATCCTTGCTTTAAGGCTGTTGAGCTAGAGAGTTAATAGAATCTTTCAGGATTGACTCGTGGCAAGTCAATGAGTGAATCATGAGCAAGACCCTTTGGAGGAATAGGTGTAACCACATCTCTCCATATAACCCTAGAAAGAGGACAAGAGAGCCAGAAATGGAGGCTGGTGGTTGGATTGGTTTAGCCTCAGTAAATAATCCTACTTCACCTTCTGCCACCAGAAATCAAGTTTCTTAAACTTTCATTATTTTAGGGTTGAAATGAATGTAAGCAACCATGTAACCCCACCCATGCTTTTTACAGAGGCTCTGAGTTTTTAAAAAAGGATTTTATTCCAGGTCCTAAAGTGGCAGAGCCAAGATTAAGCCTAGATTCCCTGATTCCTGAGACTATGTGGCTATCGCCCTAGACTTCACCCCTTCTGTTACAGGACTGTTGTGTGATATTATAGACAGGAAGAATGAGAGCTTAGTGGACGGCACTGAGAAATATAGGTTATGAAACTCTCATCAAAAGAGAATCTGCTTCCATTTTTCTTCATTTACCCATACCCCATTAACACATCTTTGTACGATAGCCAGCCTTGGTCTTCCTCACAGGCCACAAGCGTCTTTGACCTTGAAGTATGGATCTCTTATCAGTGGCCCTGGGAAACTCAAAAGGAGTAGGTTTTGTTTTGGTCACTTCTAGAGAAACTCTTCTTCTGTCAATGTCTGGGAATCCTCTGTTCTGCCACTCCCTTCCCTCTGGGATTCCCTCTGGGACCTCTCAATGAGCACCCTTTCACCCCATCTGATAGCAGCCCTCTATCATGCTAACCTGAGATATCATCTAATGGGGGATTATGAGGTGGAGATAGTCCTGAGGCAGACAGAGTCCTTGGGAGCTGCTTTGTGGTCTCAGGAAGCAACACAGCCAGGTTACAGCCCATATGCCGCAGCGGTCTTTCTGGAGCTCCCTTGGAATTTGCTTCCTGTGAGTTCTCCCTGACGGTTCACTGAAGCCTGTTGTCGTCACTGTTCAGTTGTGGTAGATGCACCTCCTGCCCTTTGTTGTGTGTGCAAGACACATGGGAGGAGCCAGTCAGGGAGAGAGTAGAAGATCCACTGTTCCAATTTGGCCTCATCTTTGTCTTTGTTCCCGGTCTAATAGTTGGGAAATGAGTAGCCATGTTAGCAGGGCAAAGGATGGCCTCAGAAACTATGTGGGTTTCCATTTCTAATCTCTTTCCTCTCCCTTTTCTCTTTGCCTTTGTCTATTCTAGGCTGACGTCTGAGGTCACTGGAATGGGCGCACTCTAATTTCTACCCATCATCCTCCATTCTGCATCACCCGACCCTCTTCAGCCAGTGGCACTCCACCCAGCTTGTACAATCTGTATATTGACTGTCCTCCCTTACCCTCAACCTCTTTACTAACAGAAGTATATATTACCTATATCTCTCTATATATAATGCGCACACACACACACACACACACACATATGCACACTCGCATACATGCACACATGCAGACACACACATTTCTTGACTAGCTCCAGCCTCTGTCCCTGATGTCTCCTGAGCTCTTAATTGATGCTCCAGGTCTGTCCATGCTTTGGGTGCACGTGTGGTGTTGATTATTTTAAATACCTTCTGGGATGGTCCCAATTGTGCCGTTTCTAAAGAAAGCTCGTCCCTTCAGTGTTAGCCTAGCTTAGATGTTCTAATGTTTGATTTGACATCTGGATGCCATGTCCACTAGATTATAATCAAATTCATTCTCTAGAACTACGGTTGCTTTGCAATATGTCTTCACTTTCCAATATTCCATAATGACTTCCCGTCCCCCACCTCCCTGCCACTCCACTCCCCCACCTTTGCTTGTCTTGGCTAACCTCCTACCCTCCAACCTATGTCCTGAAGCCATGGCATGGCTTTTCCCTTGTTATTTTGGAAGTAGAATGTGTGGGGACCAATGGAGACCTCCAGACATCTCCACTGGAGCCCATTCAGGAAGGGTCTTTTCCCAATGTGGCAGGGTCCAGACAAGCCATTGTTGTATTAATGAGAGCAAGGGGGGAAAGTCAGGTTTATTTTTTAAAGGGGAAATCATTTGCTGGGGCTGGGGTGGGGGGAAATGAAATGATATTAGGATCCACAGGGACTGCTGGGATCTTTCTCAAGACAATAGCTTCTTAAGAACCTTTTCTTTGGATCCAGCTCAGGACGCTCCAGTCTCTGTGAGCCGTGTCTGCTGTTGTTTGTACTCAATAAATGTCTGTGCAGCTCTGCAACCAATGAGCCCTGACTTCTGTCTCTCTGTTCACTTCCCTTTCTCCCTCTCTCCCGGGGCTGCCTAGGTGAACTCATCATGCCACCCTTCCACGCCCTGCCCCTGGTCACCATGGTTGGCCTGGGGATCTAAGGTTTGGGAACAGAAACTGTACAAATTTACTTCTGATTCCATTTGAGACAGAAACTACCCACCAAAAAATTGTTTAACCTTTTATTAAATTGCTCCTAAAGTCTCAAATGAAATCCCTCACATTCTTCATCTTTTCACCCTCACTCAATATGGGCCCATGGGAGAATCTTCTTATGAAGGTTCCCCATTTTCATAAAGCTTGTTTGTTGGGTCTGACAAGATCCACTAGTATTGAAGAACATAATTTGGTCATTTTTTCCAAGTCCACTCTCTTCTTTATTCCCCCCTTTTCAGTATTTAATCAAATGTAGTTTTTTCCCTTTTGAAAAATAATGTTTTCCAAAAACAATTTACATAAAATATGTTATTGTGTACTGAACTAACATGCTACCATGTAATGAAAAATGACATGAGCTCAGTCTGGCAAAGCTTTGCCTGGTGCCTCTCCCTTGATGTGAACGAGTGCATGTCCCGTATCAATGGATGTGTTAAATGAGATTGAGCCCTTGACGTGAGAGTTGGCACAAGTGAGCCACTCTCCCCCATTTCTTTCCCCTTCACTTCTTTGCCTCCACTGCCCCCCTTTCTCCCTTTCCCCTTTGTCCCTCCCTTTTTCCTCCATCCCTCCCCATGTATTTCTTGTCCTTTTCTTGCTTTACAAACCTTATCGTTCCCTGTGTTCATCATACTTCTACTCCCTGACCCTTTGCAGTGTCCACCCAAGCCAGCTCACCCTTCTACAAATAGCTGTTTCCCTTTGCTTCCCACCGGCTCCTAGACTAGAGTCTCTCCCTCTAATTCCTAATTTCAACATGCCCCCCAAGCACCTTCTGGGGACTTAGGTGGGTCAGAAGGGAACCCCTCTATACATCTGCATCCCTACAACATACCGGAGAAGGCATTCGGGTTTGCTCGGGGAGATTTGCTCACCAACCAAAATGATTGGTAATTACTCATAAAACGCCTTCCATTCCTTCACCAAACATTTATTGAGCACCTTCAAAGGCTTTTTTGTACTAGGGCTGGGGACAGAAGGGATCTGAAGTCTAGTAGAGAAAGTAAATTCTGGACACAGAGAGCTATGATATGGGCAGGAAAGAAAATGTGTGGTAGGAAAAGCACCCATTGTGATTTTAGTTCAACTGCTCAATCGATAAGTATTTATCAAGCATCTCTCAGGTGCCAGACTCTGAAGGAAGTGTGGAGATACAAATACAATGGCGAAAAATTCCTACCCTATTCTAATAGGAGAGACAGGGAGAACATATTTAAGTATTTACAAAAAAAAAAAACATAAAAAGAAGTAATGCAAATAAAACATAAGATGCAAAATGCAAAGTGGTTGGGGAGAAAGGGAAACAGCAGTGGAGGGGATCTGGAAAAGCTTCTTTGAGAAGGCAAATGCCTGAACTTTGTCTTGAAAGATCATGGAGGGTGAGAAAGGCCCCAGGGGGTTGGAGACGAGCAATGGGCCCTGATTTTCAAAGAAAGAAGAGTCCCAGGATCCTCTAATCGTCAGTGGTGTTGGCTGCATACGCCCAATGCAATTCCAGAAACATTCTGGGCTCCTCTACGGTAGGCACTGGGCCAGCAAACACAAAACACCCCCACTTCTCCCACTCTCCATGATCATTCAAGACGTAGCTCAGCTCTGTTTGCTCCTAAGGGAAGGGGATATTGATGGGCACTGCACCCGTGGCTTCACTGGCATAGGGAGCTCCCCAGCAAGAAAATCCCCTCCTCCACTTCGAGTCAACACCTTCTTCTCTGCAACTTCCAGTCTTAGTTGTCTGGGGCACACAGGCAGTAGGGGCCAAAGGCAGAACTGGAACCCACAACTTCCCGGCTCCCTGGCCAGCTCTCTATGCACCATGCTGCGCTAACTCTCATGCCAAAGTAACGCAGTCCACAAGCCCAGAAGTGCAGCTTCCGAGGAGGCACAGAGGACTCCCTGGTCTACAACAGACCAACCTTGGTTGGTGCGGAGAGGGTTTACCTAAGTTTTAAGGAGTGTTTGACAATGAGAGAGAGGTGAGTCAGAGAACAGTGGGCTGAGGCAGATGGAGACGTGGTCGGAGGGATTCTTGACCCAAAGCATCCCCCTGAAGGAATGTGTTCACCAGTGGTCAGCTTGGATGGCGGTCTCTAGTGGGGTGCCCCAGGGATCTGCACGCTGTCCTGTCGCTTTGACCTTTTCCTCCACATCTTTGATACGGGTGTAGACATGCTTCTGTTTGCTAATGGCACAAATCTGCGGGTGAGAGCTGACACATTCAGAGCCAGAATTAGGATTCAGAATATCTCATCAAGCTTCAAAGTCAGGCTAGACGTAATGAAATGGATGTTAGTCAAGATAAATCATGAGTTTTATACTTGGGCTCAAAAATGTAACATAAGCTGGGAGAGTTTGGCTCAGCAGCAGACTGTGGAAAAGCCTGGGGCAGGCGAGATTTGGCGCTTTGAAAGAAGGGGTTGGACCCGAGAGCCAAGGAAGCTAAGAGGTGGGTGCCTTGAAGAGAGGCCCCAGATTCAGGACTAGGGAGGCGCCAGGGCGTGCCATGTTTTCAGATATCAGAAGGGCCGGCCTGCTCTGCTTGACCCCTGACCACAGAGGAAGGAAGAAGGGCCAGATTGTGGCTTGTCACAATCTCAACAGTGAAGCCGTCCCGCTGTGGAACAGGTCACTCTGGGGGAGTGTGGATTCTCCGCTCATCCTCAGAAGGATGGGTGAGCCCTGTGGGCTCTGTTGTGGAGACCCTTCTTACTCACATGGGGTTGGATGAGATGGCTTTTGAGGTCCTTCCGTCTCCAGTGTTCTGGAATTCTCATCTTCTCTCGTCACGTTCAGCTCCTCCTCCTCTTCCTCTGCGAACTCATCAGGGCACTGAAGGGACGCCGGGCTCAGTCCAGCCACGTCCGTCAGTGGAGCATCGTCTGTGGGGGTCCTCTGAAGCTGGCCAGGCTTCCGTGGGGGCCGGGGTGGCGTGTGCATTTGCTCTCTGAGGACCAGCGCAGCCACGCCCAGGAGCTCATCACCAGAGCTCCTGAAATCCCATGAGTTCTTTTTCAGCTTGGAACATGATGGCTGGCTGGTGCCATTTTACATCCAAGTTATTGAACCATAAAATACTCCATTGTGGGAAGGGACTGGGGTCATCTCCTCCCCTCCTCCCCATCGTTTTCCAGAGGAGGAAAGGGAGGCAAGGAGGGGTCTCAAAGACACAGTCCCCTCATTTTACAGACAGTGAAGCTGAGGCCCATGACCACGCGAGTGGCCGAGATGGGGTTGGGATCCAGGTGTCCTAACTCTAAATCCAGTGCGCCTTCTGATGTACTAAGCTTCCTCCCTGCAGCTTGAGGCAGGAGAAGGCCTCAGAGGCCCATCTAGCCAGCCTCTGCTGTACTACTAGTCAGGACCTTCTCTGCCTCAGTTGTCTCACTTGTAAAATGAAAATTAGGCTAGACGGTCTCCATGTCCCTCTGAGCTCTGAATCTGTGATTTTCTGATCTCTCGATACCTGTTCCCAGGCAAAGGTCTCTGCTCCTTCGCAGCGGGCCCAGAGAAGGCAGGAAGCGACCCCCTCCTCTCACAGACTCACAGAATCTTAGTTAGACCGAAGGCCACAGGGTATGACCGGTGCCCGAGGAGGAAAGACCTCTGCAGGAGCCAGGGGCCGGCCAGCCTCCACAGGAAGAGTTCCAGCCACGGCCCCTTCCCCGCCCACCCCATACTGTTACTCACGCATATAGGAAATGCTTCTTTGGGCTAAGACCAAATCCTCCCCGCTGCCTTGGCTCTGCCCTGGCACCAGCCAGAAGGAGGCTCATGGTCCTGCCTGGGATAGCTTCTTGCCTGTGGCTTTTCTCCGGCTGAGAATCCTGCGCTCCCTCCAGC